CTGTGCTTCTACCGCAGGGGCCTGGATTCGATCCCTGGTTGGTGAACTAGGATCACACAAGCCATGTGGCAGAGACAAAGAAAAAAAAAGTGTCTATGTAATAACACATAGACACTTTTTTTTTTTTTTTTTGCGGTACGCGGGCCTCTCACTGTTATGGCCTCTCCAGTTACGGAGCACAGCCTCCGGACGCGCAGGCTCAGCGGCCATGGCTCACAGGCCTAGCCGCTCCGCGGCATGTGGGATCTTCCCAGGCCGGGGCACGAACCTGCGTCCCCTGCATCGGCAGGCGGACTCTCAACCGCTGCACCACCAGGGAAGCCCACATAGACACTTTTTTAAAAAATTAGATTAAATCAATTTTAATCTTCGTTGAACTTTTTGGCATCTTGGCATTCACATATTAAACAAAATACCCTTTAAGGAATATATTTACTTTTTAGTTAATTCAGGTAGGCCTGGAGTCTTTCAAGGCTATCCTTTCACAAGGTCATCTCCTTCCTCAGTTAAAAGTGAGTCATTTGGTTTTACGGATGTACAGTTGGAGAGACCAAAATAAGCAAATAGCTGATGGTGCTGAGAAATTACCATTCTTGCAGGAGACTGTCAAATTTTCCATATATAACTATTAAAATTTTATAATGAAATTGTAAATTGTAATGTTTTAAAGTTTTTTTTTAATATAACTTCAGTATTCCAGAACTTTATTTGTTCTATAATGATGATTTGGGTCTCTATCACATCTGATTTTAATATTCAACTATTCAGCATCTGGCTAAAATGTGAATCCAATGCATCTTCAGGAGAGAGAAAGAAAGAAAGGAAACATAAAAATACAAGAAGAAAACATAGGCTAATTGCTTTATAAACCTGGAACTGCAGATAAATTTGCCTACACAGAAATCCAAATAACTTTCAGTAGTAACATATGCAATAGACAAAGATGGAAGACAAATGACAAACTCCTAACATTTTCAATTCGTATCATAAACAAATATATAAACATCTCCTAGAAACTGATGAGAAAAAACAACCAGCAATCCAGTATGAAAACAGGCAAGAAGATAGAGTTCACAGAAAAAGAAATAAAAGTTATTAAATATATGAAAAGGAACTCAAGATCACTCATACTTCAGAAATGTACCTATTTGTCACCTTTTAGATTGGCAGAAATCCAAAGTCTAAAAAACACTGTTTAGTGAAGCTATTTGGAAGATGGAGACTTACTCGCATAGGTGCTGGGAATGGAAATTGGTACAAGTGTAGAGAACAATTGGGCAAAAACTATCAAAACACATATGTATACATCCTTTGACCCAAGAATTCCACTTCTGGGAATTTATTCTACAGATATACATCTATGCAAGCAATGCATATCATTCACTACAGCAACCCTTATCACTGCAAAAGAAAGGAAATGCAGCAAATATCCAGCCGTGGGGGGGATGGATAAATAATTATGTATCATACAATACCAACCATACAATAAAATATTATGCACTTGGAAAAAACCAACAACAAAGAATCCTCTGTCCTACTACAGAATGACCTCCAAAACCTATTACGTGACAAAGCAAGATGTACAATAGTACATACATTCTGTATACAGAATGCTCTTTTGTGGGAAAAAGAACGGGGCGGGGGAAATAATACAAATTTCTATTTGAATTTGAATTTTAAAACTCTACCCCTTTGCATATTATTTTTGAATCACATGAATGTACTATCTCTTTGTGATAGACTGCATTATTGGTCCCAATTCTTCATCCTCCCTGTAGCCACACCCTTGCTTTGGCCTCATTGTGGGTGGAATGTACCTTCCCACCCCTTGACAGGGCTTGGCCGTGTGACTTGCTTTCATCAATGATATATGGGTAGAAATGATGTAAGCCAGTGGCTTGCCAAAAATCAGAAAATACTACAAAGCCACAGGAACCAAGTCATTATGGTGTTGGTAGTAATTCACAAATTGCACGTTAGACAAAAAAGAAAGAAGAATCCTGAATTAGATTCCAGAATATACAGTCAGTCCTCCATATCTGTAGGTTGCATATCCTTGGACTCAACCAACTACAAATCAAAATTATTCAGGAAAAAAAAATCCAGAAAGTTCCAAAAAGCAAAACTTGAATTTGCCACTCACTGGCAACTATTTATACAGATTTTAGATTGTATTAGGTATTATAATTAGACATAATTTAAAGTGTATGGGAAGATGCACATAGGTTATATGCAAATGCTACACCATTTCATATAAGGGATTTGAGCATCCACAAATTTTAGTATCCTCAAGGGTCCTGGAACCAATCCCCCATGGATACCAAGGAACAACTGTATGGCAGGTTAACAAATGACAGAGATGCGTTCAATTCAGTGGAAAAAAGATGGAGTGTTTAACACATAGTACTGGCACAAGTGGCTATCTACCTAATGAAAATAAAATGGGACACATATACTAGGTACAAAAATAAATTCCAGGTAGATTAAAAGCATAAGTTAAAACAATTAATAAAAAATCTTGCAAAAAAAATTAAGAGAATACACACATAATCAAACGATCAAGGAGATGTCCCTAGTGAAGTCTGGAAACCTAGAAGCTATAAAAGATATAATTAAAAAAAAAAAAAGACATAATTGATGACCCCAAAATGAAAAATATTTGTATGAAAATTGATACCACAAAGTCAACAAAAGATTATTTGTAAAAAATATTTTTCAATGTGGGACAAAAGATGAGCAGCAAAAATACACAAAGAACTCTTACAAACTGATTTAAAAAAAAAAAAAGGAGGTCCCACTTCTGGTAATAATAAGGTAGCTTGTATCAGACCAAACATCCTATAGATTACAACTACAAACTCTGGGTGAAACGAGAAAAACAATGATCCGAAGGCACTGGCAAAAACCGGAAGGGAGACAACACTTGGAAGAGAGACAACACTTGGAAGAAGGAACAGCAGTGGCTGAATTCTGCATCTTATAAGCTTTGTGTCTATAGCTCCAGTGAAAAAAATCTACCACCTTGGCGGAATCCCAAATTCCGCATATATAACTCTTCCCACACCTCTGGCTGACCCCTGAACCATGCATGTGCATGGCAGACTTGAAGCAGCCTAGTTAAAAGCGTCAAACGGATTTCACCTACTACCCATCAAAGGGAGACAGAGTTTGGAGTTTGAGTTCAGCCTACTTAACAAACAAATTAGAAACATGACAGAATCCATAGTTTCTGCAACACATCATTCATAATGTCCAGAATATAATCCAAAATTACTAGACATGTGAAAAGCAAGAAAATGTGACCCAAACTCAGTAGAAAAGGCAATCACTGGAACATCTAACATCTGAGATAATCCAGATGTTAGAATTAGCAGAAAAGGATCTTAAAGAAAGTTGTTATAACTATCTCAAGGATGCAAACAAAGAAATATCAGTAGAGGACTAGGAAATTCTAGATCTTAAATATCTAAAATAAAACATTATTGGAACTGGCTTAACAGCAGATTGGAGGAGGGAAGAAGGAGTCAGTGAACTTGAAACCAGATCAATAGAAATGATCTAATTTGAGGAACCAAGACAAACAAAATTAGGAAAAGATATGAACAGAGCCTAAGAGACCTGTGTGACAATATCAAAAGGACATGGGACACAACATGTGTGTAGTTGGTGTCCCAGAAGGGCAGGAAAGAAAGAACAGCGCAGCAAAAATCTTTGAGGAAATAATGACCAAAGTTAAATTTGGTGAAAGACAAATTTACAGACCAAAGTGCCCAGCAAACCCCTAACAGGATAAATACATACAAAATCTAGGCACATCACAAACTGCTAAAAACCAAAAATAAAGAGAAATTCTGAGAGCAGCCAGAGAAAAACACCATATTATATACAGGGGAGTGACTATTCAAATGACCACTAACTTCTGACCTCCAGCAAGGAGACCAGAAGACAGCAGAACATCTTTAACGTGCTGAAAGAAAAAAAAAACCTGTCAACCTGGAATTCCACATCCAGTGGAAATATCCTTTAAGAATGAAGGCAAAAGGAAGACATTTTCAGATAAACTAAAGTGAGAAGAATTCACCATCAGCAGACCTGCACCACAAGAAATCCTAAGGGAAGTTCTTCAAGCTGAAGGGAAATGATAACCAGAGGGAAACTTCAAGAAGGAATGAACCAGAAACTGTAAATCTGTGGGTAAATATAAAAGGCCATCTTTTTACTCTCTTACCTTCTCACATTACGGCTATCACATAAAGTTCAAGTATGGTAAGTGAAACTCTAAGGTTGCAAGGCCGTTGTATTTGGTACATTATTAATGAATTAGACTGAAAAGTTGAGCGTGTGTATTGGGGTCCCTAAAGCAACCACAAAAAAAAATGCAAGGAGCTGTGGGTGCAGTGCCAAGGGCCCGTGTCTCAACAGGAGTGTGGGGCATGTGCACAATTGTCCACACTGATGAAACTGTATACTTCTTAAGATCTGTGTGTATCGCTGTATGTAATTTATATCTAAATCTTTAAAAAAAAAGTTTTCTTAAGAAAAAAAATAAGTGCCTGGCTCAGAGTAGATATTCAATAACTTATTTATTATTGTTAGTATTCTGCGAAACTTCAGAACATCAGTTTCAGAAATACTGTCCTATCTTAGGGCCTATTTACTGAGCACATGCTTGTCCTTCTGCCTGGAATGTTCTCACCCCACACTCTTCCCCTAGGAAGAGTGAAAATGCCTAGGCATCCCTCGGTCTTAGCCTAAATGGCATTTCCTTTGGGAAGCCTTGCCTAATATTCTCCCAGCAATGGACAAATTAACATAATCAATTACATGCTCCCACAGCACCCGGGACTTGCAGCACTTGCTGCCTGTTGCCCATTTCCTATGAGGCTGTAGGACCCACAAGGGCACTGGCTCTGCTCAGTGCTGAATTCTCTACCCTCAGCACAGTGCCTAGTACCCAGAGACAAAAGGCTCCCAAACCTCTTTTCTCCTTCCCAACGTACCGTTTGGCTCTTTCCAGGTCATCATTGGCTTGCTCCAGCTCTCTGATGTATTTCTGAAGTTGATCTTTAATGGCTTTTGTCTGGGCAAGGTCATCCTCTAAGGCTGAGATCTGCCGGTAGCCTTCAGAATGCTGCGTTTCAAACTTCTCCTGAAGGACAGAATCAACACTGAGTGAATGATTTAAGACTCCCGACGAGGATGTTTATCTCCCTTCCCTGTCATCTCCTTAGGACATTGAAGGTTAATCCTGGGACATAACCCTCTCCGTTGCAGTGAATGTGTGTTGTCCCTAGCTGCTGAGCATCTATTCCTCCCCCTCTGCACAGCCCACCGGCACGCCAATTTCTTTATAATTAATTTATTTTTATTATTTATTTATTTATTTTTGGCTGTTGGGTCTTTGTTGCTGCGTGTGGGCTTTCTCTAGTTGCTGCGAGTGGGGGCTACTCTTCATTGCAGTGCGCGGGCTTCAGCAGTTGTGGCTCGCGGGCTCTAGAGCGCAGGCTCAGTAGTTGTGGCTCACAGGCTTAGCTGCTCCACAGCATGTGGGATTCTTTCCGGACCAGGGCTTGAACCCGTGTCCCCTGCACTGGCAGGCGGATTCTTAACCACTGCACCATCAGGGAAGTCCCACGCCAATTTCTTTAGGGGATTTCTCTCTCCCTTATTCTAGGATCTTTGTGGGACCAGCCTTCCCATCACACTCACTCAGGATGCCAGAGGACAAGCCTAAGCTCAGTCAGGAGAACCTTCTGTCCACAGACATGGACTCTTAAGCAAATGAGGGATGATGGGGGGAACAGGGGGCCATCAAGCTGTCAAGTCCCGAGTGCTTCCTGAGCATCTTATACCCTGCCCCCTCCCACACTGGTCCCTGCAGCCTCTAGTATCAAGCAGCCCCCAACTATCTTCAAAGCAATCATTTTGTGCAAGGTGTCCACAGCCACAGAAAGCCTCATAAACCTCTCCGAGCCTGATCCACAAGGGCAATACCGATGCACTTCACATGATATCCCTGGATTACAGACAGAATAGCAGGAATCACAATGACTTTATTGCCTGTGCCTCACAGTCAGATCAGGACATCATGGACTCAGTTTGAGAACTGTTCTGACTTTGTGACCCAGGACACTCTCCCTGTGGCATGGGGGAGTTAGGAACTTCTGGGCCTCTGAGGAGGGAGAGAGAGAAGGGAGGGAGGGAAAGGGAGGCGGAAGGGAAGAAGGAAAAAAACAAAACTGTTGTTTTTACCAAAAGAACCTTAGTGTGATCTAGCTGGTGCTTTCCAAGGCAAGGCACAGCCCAGATGACGCCTCAACAACCTGCTGCTGCCCAGCTATGGCAGCTAACATTTACCGCAGGTCTACTCTGCGCCAGCCTCTGGGCTCAGGACGCTGTTTTTGTTGCCTCATTTAACGCCATTTCAGAGACATGGGAGCTGAGGCTCAGTCACTTCATCAGCCCAAAGTCAACTGGAAGCACATGACCGGGCCAAGATCCATCCCGGCCACCTGGGCTTGCGCTCTTAGAACAACTACGCTAAACTGCCCTCAACCACTTCCATCCAGGTCACACGGGAACTGATCACATGTACGCGCGTGCACGCACGCACACACACTCACTCCGGCTCTGGCTCCTCTCTCTAATTACTTTCCATCATCAAACACCCTTACCACCTTTCCTTCATCTACAAACATGAAAGAAAACACTCATCACTTCCCACAGGAAAGGCCCAAGTCTAATTAGAAAGTTAGAAAAACAGGCCAACTCCTCTTCTTGAGTCAGTCGAGTAAACAAAGCTGTTGCTAGAAACAGTCTGGAGGCACTGGGGAGAGTGATGTAATGGTGACCAGGCCAGAGAGGCGTGGCCAGAGCCATGGTGAAAGAAGAAGGTCCACAGAACAGGCAGATTATTTACAAGACGAGGACAGGGAGGGGTGTCACATCCTTACGCTGCTCTGTCTCCTCTGATACTGTTTCCTGGCTACGAGCACAGGAAGTGTCTTGGCTCAGACAAGCAGGGGCAGACCAGGCCCAGGCACGGGCGAATTCCCAGGCGTGGTTCTGATGGCTTCCCACCCTTGATTTGGGTGCCTCCCCAAATAAAACAGGAGGGTACAGGATCCTAGGTCACTAACCTAAGTTCCAACACAGGTTCCAAGAAGACGCAGTTACTGGGCTTGTCCACCAGCATAAGGATTCAAATGTTGTCCTTTGAACTTGGGGACATGAAAAGCTGTTGCGCTTTCATTTGGGGCTAATTATAATAAACTGTCAGCTGATGGAGGCATCAATAGATGCTCTGTTGGATCCCTTACAAGCGTTTTTATTCAACTTGCAATGAATAAGCCACTGTCAAGGAGTCTGACTCAGTTGAAGACTTTCCTCTTAGGTGACAGAAATATGTGCTGGGGGCAGTTCTTCACTCCAAGGTAGTTCTGTTTCCTCGCCTGCTCCACACACTGTGTCTCATGAACCTGCCATGTGGTTGTAATGAAGAGGTCTTCTGCCGGTTCAATGGCTCAGTCTGGAAGTGGTTAATTACTTAGCAACTGCATGATATTTAGTCAGCACATCCTCCTACCCTCTCCAAACGATGGTTCATACCACTAGTCTTCCCATCCCTGAGCCCCCTTCAGTGTAAGGGCTGTAAAGATTCCCCAGTGCCTAGGGCAGGGGCCAGGCTGTTAACAAAATGAGTGACGTGGGCCACGTGTAAGCAGCAAAAGACACTCAGTCCCCGGTGTCAAGAGTTGGGGGGAAAAGGACAGAAGTGGGGACTGGGGCAAACTGGAGAAGGCTTGCTCTGTCTAAGCAACCACAACTCAGCTTTTTGCCGGTGTGGAAGAAGGCCGGCCTGGGGTAGCCAGATCCACCAAAGGAAGATCAAAGGAAGTCGGAAATCTAAGTTTTTACAAGAAGCCTCACAACTCTGAATGTTGATACTAAATATTAAAAAAAAAAACCCACTAAAGATATAAATTTTACTATCAAAAGAACAAACTGTAAGCAAACCCTCACCTCTAGTTAACAGCCTACTGCAGTATTTACAGGGAAGCGTAGAGATGTTGGTGATTCACCTTGAAATGCATTGGGAAGATAGACTGATGGATGGACAGATATATAACAAAGTATGTAAGTATGGCAAAGGTCATCGGTAGAGCCCAGGTGGTGGATACAGGTGTTCACTGGAAAATTCTTTCAACCCTACTGTGTGCTTGAAAACCTTCATGATACAATGTTACGTGAAAACCACTAAAGGCTTAAGCAAACAACATCTATGGGCCAGACTGGCCTGCGGGTGGCCCGCTTGGGCTCTGTGGTCTATGCTGTAAAAGCTTAAGAGTCCACCGCTCAGTTTCTACGGTCGGTGTGGTCCTTCCTCTGCTGTTCCTCACCCCTTGATCCCCCATCCTGTGCTGGCCCCGCTTTCTCCCATGTGCTAGTAAAGCCAGATTCCCAAGGTCCACTTGACAGTCATTCTTGCCCGTGTCTGTGGCAGTTCCATATTAACTCTTCATCAAACCCTTGTATGCCAAGTTGCTGGCTAGACACACACACACACACCCCCCTTCAAACACCAGCTCAAGTCCCTCCCATCTCTTCCATGATGCTGTCTACAACCCGTGCAAATCTCTCTCAGGAGGATCTCACGGTCAGTACCACATAACTGAGCATCTTTTCACTAAGTGTTTCTGGCTGTCAGGTTTGTCTTCCCCGCAAAGCTTCCAGAGGGCAAGGGACACATCTCCTTCCACTGTGCATCACACCTAGCCCTGGACTCACACTGCAGGGCCTTGGCTAGTTCTCCCAGTGGCTCATCAAAATATATGAGGAGCTTTGTTTTAAAAAGAAAAAAAAAAAAACAAGACATGCATACATGCTGGGGCCCCACCCAGACTTCCTGAGAATGGGAATCTCAGGGCGGGGTGGGTCCAGGCCTGTCTGACGTTTATGAAGCTGGCCAGGTGACCCTGCCTGGCAGTGAGGGCTGAGAGCTGTCCCTAGGCCACACAGTTATACTTTGTGATCACCCGCTAAGCTCTCCAGAGTGTCCAAAAGGCATCCTTTGCCCTGCAGAGAAGTGGTTCTCCAGATACTTGGCAATGTTTGCAGATATTTTTGGCTGTCACAACCTGGGGGAGGGGGTGCTACTGGTATCTAGTGGGTGGAGACCAGGATGCTGTTAAACAGCCCACAGTGTGAAACTCGGCCCCCACAAGAGAATCATGTAGCTACCTTCAAATGTCAACAGTGCCCAGGTTGAGGAATCTGCTCTGTCCAACAGGACTTTCCATAATGATGGAGACATTCTACAGCCTCTCTGTCCCACAATGACACCCACTAGAGACGTGTGGCCTTTGAGCACTTGAAATATTGGCTAGTATGATTGAGGAATTAAATTTCTAGTTATTTTATTTTAATTAACTTAAATGTCAGTAGCCGCACATGGCTAGGGGTGACAATTCTGGACAGCATAACCCTAGGCCTTATAACCATCAGCAATTCCAGAGACACTCCATACTCTAGAAGGGTCTACCTTCCATGTGCCTTGCAGGATTGTCACCAACAGCCAAGAATGGCCGTGGGACATGTGTGAGACCTGCCTCTCACAGAGCGCCTCCATCAGGGGCATAAAGAGTTCAAGTGTCACACACGCCCGGAAGGCCTGGGGTGGAAGTGAGCCCGGGGCCAAGTCTGCAGGCTCCCTTTTCCAGTCACGACGCTGGACACCATCCACACCTGCATGCGTCTCCTCTCACCCCCTCACCTTGATGGTTTCCAGCTCCATGCGAAGGCGGTTGTTTTCTGACAGCAGGTCCCTGTTCCTGGTTTCAATTTGTTGCAGCTGCGTCTCCAATTCAGCTTCATATTCTCGGCTTCCCTCCTGGAATTCTCGGAGTTCCTCTTGCGTGTTCTCTGCCCTACAGAATTCCCAGATGTTAGCTGATCATTTACTGAGCGCTTACATGCTGCTGTTATACATGTATCAGCTCTTTATTCAACTGCCTTTTGAGGCAGAAACTGTCATTGTCCTCATTATACAGATGAGAAGATGAGGTGACTTGTCTCGAGGTCAAACAAGTCAGAAACAGAGCTTGGGCCTGCCCCCAGGTGTGCCTGACTCCATAGCCCTTTCTTAACCAATTCACTCTCCACGCATTCATTCCACTTGTACTTTTTGGAGCCCAACATGTAGTAAGCACACTTTGGATTGTGCATTCTCTGATTTATTTGTAAGTAGAAACTGGACATAATACAAATGCTCACTTATCACACCCTATCATGGGTCCCTGCCCCATATCCCAAACGCCCAATTCTACCTTCTCAATCCTTAAAAGTCAAGGGATATCTTTTTTTTTTTTTAACACCAAGCCTAAATTCTCTTTAAATCAAACTAAGAATAAAGAAATTAGAGGAGCCAGAATAAGACCTCCCTGGGTAGATTACAAGAGTCCATGAGAAATAAAAAGAAACAACGTTAAACACACACACACACACAGCTCCCAGATATGGGCACTGAAACACTGGTTTCAAATTTAAAAATCTGTAACAACCCATTTTGCTAGGCATAGGAAGTTCTTTCCCCACACACGAAGGGCAGACCAGATACAGCATCCAGGAGCTGATAAAACCCTGCCAGAAAATAAGCTGGGAAGTAGCACAGCCGTTTGCTTAGGACCCTAGGCTTTGGGGTTTAAATTCCAGCTCTGCTATTCCCCTGGCTGTCTGACCTTGGGCAAGTCGACTTGCTTTCACTGAGGCTCAGTTTCCTCATTTGTAAAATGGGGTGAGAATGGTTTCTCCATGGAACAGTGTTGAGATTTAACTGAGATGATGTATGTTAAGCCCTTCACAGTGCCTGGCACATAGTAGGCCCACAATAAATGGTTGCTGCCATCACTATGGGAAGAAAAAGCAAGGTGAACTTTGGAGAACTGACCTCTGCTTGTAGGTCATAGCCAGGTTTTTCCAATAGTTAGCTTCTTCCTCCTCGGAGCTGAAAGTCTTGCCCGAGTCCTCCATTGTGAAAACAGGGGAAAAGATTACTCTTCTTGTCTCATGATGTCTAGAAGAGAAAGTTTTAAAATTATTACCCACATCTGGTTAAACAGCTGATCTTTAATGGGGAAAAAAATTCCTAGACTTTATGTTGGATTAAATGTGGCAAAAAACATTGCCAAAAAACTAAAACTAAACCCAGACAAAATACAGCCCACCTACACATTACATTCCATGGATAAACCTACCAGCGGGCTTCCCTGGTGGCGCAGTGGTTAAGAATCTGCCTGCCAATGCAGGGGACGCAGGTTCAAGCCCTGGTCCGGGAAGATCCCACATGCTGCGGAGCAAATAAGCCCGTGCGCCACAACTACTGAGCCTGCATTCTACAGCCCGTGAGCCACAACTACTGAAGCCCGCGCGCCTAGAGCCCGTGCTCCGCAACAAGAGAAGCCACCGCAATGAGAAGCCCACGCATGGCAACTAAGCTCGCCACAACTAGAGAAAGCCCGCGTGCAGCAAAGAAGACCCAACGCAGCCAAAAATAAAATAAATAAATGTACTAAAAAAAAAAAAACCTACCAGGACTTGCTGATTTATTACATTTGTGGGGGGAGGGGAGGAGAGGGGAGGATGTCTCACGGGTTCTAACTTAGGCAACCAGGTGCCACCACCATCCCCATCACCAGAGACAGAGAATCAGAAGGAAAAGTCTTTAGGGTGAGGGGATACTGAATCCAGCTTGGGACATTTTTAATTGGACGTGCCTGTGATACACCGAGATGCAACACTGGATCTGAAACTCGGGGTGAAGTCCAGGCTAACAATACAAATTTAAGAATCATGAGTTTGTAGCTGGTTCTTCCTTTTTTCTTGTGACAGAACCACGAGATAATTGACTGAGAACTATTTATGGATCTCTGAGGAGTGCCAGTGTCTGAAAGCTGGGAAGAGAAACAGTGATCAGAGACAGAGAAACAAGTGAGAGAGATGAGAACCAGAAGAGTGAGCTGTTCCGGGAGTAGACGGTTTCAAGGGGAAAAAAGAGAATGTTCCACAATATCCAAGATGCAACAGAGAAGGTGGTAAGGTAAGGACTGGGAAATATCCACCCACAAGACTTGGCAAAATGTCGGTCACTGGTGATGTGAGCAAGAATGGTTTCAACACAGGGAGGAGGGATAAACAGGGTGGAGGAGTAACTAGGAGGTGAGGAAGAGGAAGTAGGTGGGATTTTGGAGAACTGGGTATGAGAAGAAAAGGAGACACATTAGACAGTAGCCAGAGGGAAGTGATGATAAGGGCCTGGACTCAGGATTCTGAGCTATCCAGAGCAGAGGTTAGGGAACAAATTTCTATTAACAGTTATCAGTCTATGGACTCCCGGCTGATAAAGCCTCTCAATGTAACAGCTTATTTTCTCAATTTATTTAAGACTCTGAGCTTGTCAAAAGGTCATTACAAATCCAAATGAGATCTCTCTTAAGTCCCTTCTTCCCCTCAAGCTAGCTCATGGTTCTGTCTCTGGGGACAACAGAATGAACACAACCCCTCAATCTGCAAGACATAACTAACAAGCTGTGTATCTGGCTAAATATACAAATAATTCCACTAAATATGTCAGTGCTGACATGGACACAATCACCAACTTTATCCCTGGTAGAAACTGAACAATGATACCTACATCCGAGCACAGTACTTACTGATAACTCTACATTTGTTAGGACCTGTATTCACACCTCTTCCTCCAAATTTCTCTCCCTTCCCTAATTCAGAGAAAACATGCCACGTCCCCACCCACTCCCTTCCGGGGAACAGAGCTTCTCTGAAAGCTTGACTAAAGCAGAGAAGCTGGATGGAGTAGAAAATTGTTAATTTGATTTTTTTTTTCCCAGTCCATCATTCCTTCTTCCATCTTTAACAGCACCCCAACATTCCCTTGGGGAAACCAATTCTACACTCCTTCCATGGGGCTCAGATGGACTTGACATCATCTTCTGCATCTGGGAGAAGGCATGTGACTACTCATGCCTCCAGCATAATCGGTAGCGGGCTCAGAGGTGGGCCTAACCCAAGCTGAACCAATGACATGGATCAGCCTAATCCAAACTGAGCCAATGATTGGCTCAGGGGTGCACGTAACCCAAGCTGAGCCAATGAGTGTCCAGACCCAGGCCTTTCGCAGAGCTATCAAGAAAGAAACTCTCTGGAGTTGTTAACTAACCTTACTGTAGTAATTATTTCACAAAATATACGGCTCAAACCATCACATGCTACACCTTAAACTTACACAACGTTATATGTCAATTATATCTCCATAAAGCCCGGGGGGGAGGGAGCAGAAGAAACTCTTTCCATTAGGGTTCGTGGTGGTCATCTTGCTATCACAAGGGAGGAGCCTGCCTGAGAATGAAGCCAAAACAAAGGAAAGCAGGGCCAAGAAGTGGAGAGACTGGGTCCTGACAATATCATTCGGACACCTGGGTCCAGTTATTCCTGATTTAAGGTTAGGAGAGATAATCAACTCCCTTTCTTGGTTGGACCAGTTAGGTCTAGATTTCTGCTACAAGAGAGGCCTAATTAACGTTTGGAGTGAAAGATCTTGTTTGCTGAAAGTACAAAGGATAGAGCACCTAGAGTGTAAATAACAGTAATTACCATGGTGACAGGTAAGGGTAAACCTAATTCTGGTAATCCTTGCTCAAGCCGCAAGCTCTAATGAGCCCAGAGCTCATCTAGTATGGGGTCACCAAACCAATGTCTATAGCATTAAGAGACCAGAGCCCATGCAACTGTAACTGTGTGGCCATTAATGATCATATTGAGGACAGTCTCAAATGCACGGTATGGGAGGAATTCTGTGTACAGGAGGGTGAGAAAGTGAGGAACTAGGAAAAATGAATGTACACTGACTTTTCCTGATGTTTGGAAACAGATCACATCCAAGTTCAACGTAATGAGTCCCTGCCTACTTCTCTAAACATTTCCTACAGCCCTACCCCTCACTCGCTTAGGCTGCAGCCACACTGCCTTCTTTCTGTTCCTTGAACACACCAAGCTTGCTCCCACTCAGGGTCTTTGAACTGGCTGTTTTCTCTGCTAGCAGATTTCCTTCTTGCTGTTCAGATCACAGCTGAACTGTCTTCCCCAGAGAGACCTTATCTGAACATCCCACCAAATACCTCCTCCAGCCCTTCACTGTCATATTAACCCCTGCTTTGTTTTATTTCATCACTTTATGAGTTTTGTTTTTGTTTTATCTTCCCCCGCTGGAATGTCAGTTTTGAGCACAGGGACCTTCACCATCTTACTTTTTTATTCCCAATTCCTTGAACAGTGCCTGGCATATAACAGGCTTTCGATAAATGCCTGTGGAAGGAACGAACACAGGGAAAGATAGAGTCTAGCCACTCGCTGGAAAGGGATGTGAGGTTAAGGAAAAGAAGCAAGAGACCCTCTGCAGGCTAGTTTATAGTTTACTTCTGTAAATCCCTAAGATACTTAACAGGATGGGGAAAACCTTTCTCCCTCGGCACCTGAGTGGCATCTCATTAACGGGAAGGGGCTGGAGGACAGGGTGCCATGTTGGAAACTACCCCCTCCCCAGGTGTACATGATAAGGAGTATCTGATACAGTTACTGGAGTTTAATAACCTTCATCCTGCAATCTTACGACAGATGAGTTTTAGAAAAGGGCTCTTTATCACAGCCAGTGAGGCTTATAACTTAAGCCTCAGTAAAGAAATGAAATTGAGATGTTTTAGGAGGCGCTTCCACTGTGGCTCTATTTACAGCCCCTGCATTTTAAAAACACCCCTAGGGAAGAGAAAAACTATGCTAGAGGCTAAGAGGAAAGAAGTAACAGCTGAACCTCACTTTCTTATGAAACAGCATACTTAAAAACCTGACATTTTTTTTTTTTGGCCATTTGAAAATGTCGCAGAAAGTTCTAATGTGCATTACTCCCTGCCACAGATAGCAGGTAAGACAACTGGCAAAGGTTCCCCTTTTCCAGCATTATTTACTAAATTTTATCATCACCTTCTATTTGTGGTGTGTTAGGCATTTAATACATTACTTCCAAACAACTTGACCCTCTTTAAGCTGTTTAACTGTAAGGGGTAGGTAGGCAAGGCAATCACCTGGTTTCTTAGGAAGCTAAAGCAGAAACATCGTATGCCTTGGCCTTCTGCATAGGTGCAACAGAGTGGCAAACCAGACCCAAGTGCAAGGGAGTCTTTGAATTCAAATTCCAGATCTCCCTGGGGTTGCCAATAGACTGGAGGTCAGTTTCGCTCTTTAGTCCATGCAGTCTTTTGAACGGCACTGTGTCAGGCAGGTGTTAATGCTTGGTCACAGCATAAACAACTTTGTACCCACTATCTTAAAAGTGGATACTGCATGCATTTATTGCATCCGAGCCACAGGGATATGTCTTCCTAACTTGCATTCTCAATACACCATCATGCCGTCATGCCCCAGTAGCTCTGTGGACAAACCTGATAGGTACCTCAAATGTATGTGCTACAGCATGCAAAAACTGGGATCAAGTGGTCCAGTAAGTACTTATTTTCTATTTTGGATAACTTAGATCTATTACTCTTACAAAAGTGTTTCAGCAAGTTTTTTGGGGGCGGCTATTTTCCATGATCAAACCTAACAGGAAAGTCTGAAAACACACTTGAGACACACACCTTTGATTTCAAAACTCTAGAAAAAACAAAGCCTTTCTCAGCTCTCCTCTGAGTGAAGAAAGCCAGCACAGCTGGTCAGGAGCAACACACACATATAAACCATCAGGAATTAACGGCCCTTCTCCACCCCAACTCCAATCCCTCCCAATCAAAACACATGGAAGAGCAGAAGGGAAAGGGAGAAAAAGGAAGAAACTGCCAGAGGCTGGCACATGCTCCCACGGCTTCTACGTTATGACGCAGGCTTTGCATTTTGCAGAAGTGACATTACTGGGGCAAAATCAGTCAAGAGTCAGCAGGTCTGACTTCTGTCTCGGTGCTTTCAAAGTCTGTTATGATCTACCTACCAGAATACCTCACTAGGCATGCAAGGACATATGCTCAAGGGTGTACACCATCATTGACTGAGGGGAAAACTGGAGGAACTTAACTGTTGACAGAGGACTGATCAGAAAATGGTGCAGTTAAGAAGTAAATATACTGGGCTTCCCTGGTGGCACAGTGGTTGAGAGTCCGCCTGCCGATGCAGGGGACACGGATTCGTGCCCCGGTCCGGGAGGATCCCACACGCCACGGAGCGGCTAGGCCCGTGAGCCACGGCCGCTGAACCTGTGCGTCTGGAGCCTGTGCTCCGCAACGGGAGAGGCCACAACAGTGAGAGGCCCGTGTACCACAAAAAAAAAAAAAAAAAAAAGAAGTAGTAAATGTACTGATATGGAAGAAAGTTTATGATATGTTAAGAAAGTGTCATTTTTGTTTGCAAATGTATCTCACTCTGCATATACAAATAGAAGAGTCTGTAAGGATATACCAGTATGGGGTAAGGCAGACACTGAGGTTCGAACCTGTACCTGACACTTCTGTAAGATATATATTGTTTTTTGCAGTAAGCACATATTGCTTTTGAAATTTTAAGAAGCTTAAACTTGGACAAAAAGAAAACAAATTATCCTGTCCAAGGATAATTTTTATTTTCTTGAACCAAGAGGCCAAGGAAGGAGCTTTTCCTACGGAGGCATTCCCCTCCTCTGCTCCTTTTCAAACATTTCCCAACACCTACTAAGTGCTGGGCACTGCTAAGCGAGGCAGACACAAAGCACCTATGTCAGGACTAGGTGCAAACAAAGTACCAGTTGCAGGCACAAACTTTCCACATGCAGGCATGCTCGTGTTAGGGAATTATCTTGTGAGGAAGCGGAGTGTAATCTCTCTGGGCTCACACGTTCTGAAGCAAAAGAACACACTCTGGAAACAAAAATCACATCCTAACACAATAAGCCAAGTTAAGAAACTATTAACCAAATGGGATGAAATATACCAATCAGAGGCCTCTGACACTTCAGGAGCACAGATCATCTACATTTTTAAATTTCAAAAATGGTTAAATACCAACGCTGGGGTCAGATAACAAGGGGCTCTGGGAGTCGCTGGGATCCAATTACTCTTCAAAGTACCTTACCCATGTCCTAAAATGCCATCCTATCCTAGAATACATGAACAAAACTCGCATAGAAAATGAGAAATTTCTGTCCGGCGCGTGCTGCAAAGGTCGTTTCTTTAGAAAGGAAGTTAAAAGGGGCCTAAAGGTAGAGAGGGGCACAACATGATAAAACCCTGGACAAAGAAATCCGGGAAGGTCGAGCCCTCGGGAGACAGCGGACTTGAGATGACTGGAGAAGATAATGTAGCTTCCCCAAAAAGCAGTATCAAGGTGATGGCGGGGTTTCCTATGACCTCAGAGAGGCAGGTGAGCCCAGCCACCGCATTCAAGCTGTAAAATAAGCGTTTTCATCCTTTATCCAATCCTTCCCCAAAGTGCTGTCAGGGGAAATCTGAACCGTCCTGCAACAGAGATCTGAGGAAAGCGGAGGGAGGAAGACCGTTCCAAACACTTTCCCAAAGGGAGGGAAGTGCCAAGGAGGAGGGAGGTTTTTGGAAAGAGGCCTGCACCGAGGGTGGAGGTGGGTGGGGACGTGGGCGGGAGGGGGGCTACGAGGAATGAGGGGCGGTGGGGGGGGCAGCAGAAGGCAATGGCGAGGACTGAAGAGCAGAAAAATGAGCGAGAAGGGAGACCAGGGGAGTCGGGGTGGGAGGGAACAGGAGGGCAGAGCGGCCGGGCTGCGGAGACCCGGGACGTGGAGAGCAGAAGGACCGAGGAAGTCTAGGACGGAGGGGGAGGGCAGCGGGGTCGGAGACAGGCGAGCGCAGAAAGAGAAAGAAAGCTAGCAAGGGTGAGGAACCAGGCGCGAGGGACACGAGGGTGTGAAGGCACAAAGTTAAGAAGGCAGGCTCCAGGGAAGCGCGATTTTCGAGCCCAGCACCTGGGAAGCGACGCGCAAGTGAGGGGCGCGCCAGGGCCCCTGCACGGCGGCGGCCCGGGGTCCCGAGAGCGTGGCGGGCGCCGGGGCGGGCAGAAGAGTTTCCCGGCGGCCGTGGCGGTGGCGGTGGTGCTGGCAGTCCCCGAGAAGTCCCCACCCCGGGGGCCGCAGCTCCGCACTTACCCGGCTCCGGCTGTGAGGAACCGCGACGGCGACGGCAGCGGCTGGGGGCGCTGCGCCCCGGGCCTCCAGCCCCCGCCCCCGCGCCCGCCCACGCGCCCGCGCCCGCGGCCGGCGCCGCCCATTGGCTGCCGCGCCACGGGACCGCGTCTGCCTCGGCCAATCAGCGCCGAGCAGCGCCTTTTGGAAACTTTTTTCCCAGGGCCCGGGCGCGGCGTGGCCACGCGGCGGCCCTGGGCGGGCTGGCGGGAGGGGCCCTAGGAGGCTCCCGCTGCTGGGCAGGGTTGTGGCCCGCCTTGGCGGCTAAAGGGTGCTCCCTGGACACCGGGGGGACGGGCTGGGATTTGCGGGCCACGCACTTCAAGAAAATATGACTCCCTCCCCTTGACACCGGTTGCATTTTCCTGTTCTTGGCTTTTCCCCAAAGCAGATAGAAGGACAAAGATCTAGGTCCAGTGAGGATAAGCAATGCCCCAGGTCCTCCCCACAACTTTACAACCAATATAAAATTTTCTTTTTTTTTTAAGACCTTTTGATGTGGACCATTTTTAACATCTTTATTGAATTTGTTATAATATTGCTTCTATGTTATGTTCGGTTTTTTGGCTGGGAGGCATGTGGGAATCTTAGCTCCCCCACCAGGGATGGAACCCCAACCCAGAACCCACACGCTCCCTGCATTGGAAGGCAAAGTCTTAACCACTGGACTGCCAGGGAAGTCCCACAACCAATATAACAATTTTCACATCATTATCTTCTTCTTCAAAGGCAGCAAAACTCCTTTATAGGAGTTTGTTTTCGAGGCTGGCTTTGAATCCTTGCTCTGTCCCTTAGTAGCTGTGTGATCTTGGGCAAGTTATTCTCTCTGTGACTTACTTTCCTCATCTATAAAATGGGGTTATGCAGAGACGAAATGAGTCAACTTGGCATTTGCAAAACGTTTAGGACAGTGCCTAAGCACATAGTTAAGTACAATCTATGTAGTGATCATGATTTTTCAATTGGTTATCTAGGTCAGGCATAATGCTAACTTCTTGATGTTCACCAACGAATATTTATTGAACACTCACTTATATCAAAATAAATGTCAGACAAGACACCTGTCCTCAAAGGGCTTATAGTACTAAAAGGACACTAAATCAGCAAACAGAAACAGTGAGATAATGTCAGATGCTAATAAGTGCTATGACTAAAGCAAGGTCATATGATAGAAAGGGGCTGAGGAGGCGTCCCTGCAGATAGAATGTCAGGGAAAGCCACTCTACCAGGTGACAATGGAGCTGAGACCCAGATGATGAGAACCACAGGAAAGCACTTTTATGGTCCTCATTTTAAAGCTGAGAAAAGGGTACAGGAAGTTAAATGCATTGCCCAAGGTTTCACAATTAATAAACAACAAATCAGACTTCAAAGCTGGGTCTGTTTGACTCCTACACTAGTGTTCTTCAGCACAATGCTACAGGCAGAGATCTTAGCTGCTTTGAGGCCTCCAACCAGTCATAGAATCCCTCCTGCATCCCTGCCATGGTTAAGAATGACCTTTAATTCTACTTCGACTCCTTGCTACTTCCTGAAAGAAGCTCAGAGATGCAAAAGGGAACTACCACTTACATCAACGGGGTTAAGTATCAAAGTGTCTTTTAGGAAACTTCCATCCTGGCCCCAAATGCTAATAAATCATTTGCACCCCCTTGACACTTTCCAGAGCCTCACCATTCTGTGAGGTTTCTGGGCAGAGAATAATCACCCCAGTTTAAAGATAAACTGAACCACAAGTTGATGAGCTATCAGTACTGACTACATGACATTAAATCATTTAAACCAGTTGATTTTCAATTTCCTTCATTTTTCCATTAAAAATAAAAGGGAGAAGATATTGAAATGATTATCATTAAACTCCTCTTCAGGAATAGGTGTTTAGGTAAATGGGTTTGTTATTGGATAAAACCTTAAAAATATGAAAGGGAAATTTTGGTATACTTTAAAACTTTTTTCTCTCTATTCAATTTGTTTTCCTTGTAGCTTTCAGATATTAATGAGCAGAAAGTTGGGTTTCTCTTGCTTAAATTCTACCATCATAATTTATTATTTCAAAACACTAAACTTTTCATTAGCCTTCCATTTAGTATGATTGATAACATTTTTATTTACTGCATTTACTTATTGACACCAGGCACAGCTCTGGACTTGAAAGAATGCCAAGCAATGTCAAACAAAATGTGTCTGATCTTTATTTTATGGCTACAACCTTTTTTAAAAAGCAATTTTAAAATCCACAATTATTTTGTTTCCTTTTTATATTTTTAGTTAGTACTGTCTGTGTTCAGAGATACTCAACTAGAATGAAAAGGAGAGAAAAAAATCTCTAAAGAGAAGCATATTTTTTGGTACTGTGAAAAAAACAAAATGCTAGAAACAGGGTTGTTTTTCATCTGTTCTAATTCCCACTTGGAGAATACTACCACACACAGACACAATGAAGATTTACTCAGCGGTAATAAATACCTAAGCAGGCAGATGATGTGTGGACTTGTCATCTGCCTTCTGGAAATGGAATACAAGCACAAAGGGTTTTTCAGCTATGTGTTTGATCTTGCCCTCCACAATACCTGTCTACAAGGACGTCTACAGGGATGTATCAGCTTCCCCTGAAATCTCCCCCACTTAATGTGGATTGCCTCATGAAGTTGCCTCACAGTACAGACTTCAGGGGGAAAAAAGTTCTCTTTTGGCAATTTTTACTTGCTGATCCTTATGCAAAGTTAACCTGTTTCTTAGCAAACTTCAGAAATAATCTTTTACGTAGCATTCGGCTATTGCATCGTAAACTGTCTAGCTTTAAAATATATATGCTTTGTTCTTCTCCCAATTTGCAACAGGAAATAGTGAGCAGCTGGTAGTTTCAGAAATGTCCGTTGTGCCTACTTAAAAACAATTTTTTTTAAATTTCAAATATAAGTAAAGAATCTGAAGCAAAAAAACCCAGAACAAAAACCCCAAAAAACCAAAAAGCCCCAAACATGGCAAATCTAGTCACCAAAAACACAAGCTGTTATTGGCTTCACATGGCTTTTGCAACTATAAAGTCTCCTTTTTGCTCACCTAAGTGGGCACTGGAAAAGTTGTATTCATTTGCAACGAGCTTTGGACCAGGACTTAAAAAAATCACGTTTTCTTACTTAAGTCACGAGGACCTCTTAATTTTTGGTGACAAAATCCAGCCTAGTCTTGGCACAGGCTTTCTTTTCGCCAGCTGGATCACAACTTCTCCAGGCGCCCTGCCGGCCCGAAGGACCTCGCGGGCAGCCCAGTTGGCAGTTATTTTTTTCTCCACTCGCCGCTAGGTTGCACTACATGAAGGATGCTGTAGCAAATATGCGTCATTTAATTTAAAAAAAAAAAAAAAGTAGGGTCATCACGTGACAAGAGTAAGAGAGAAAAAAGCCAAAACGATCAGGTTTTTCATCAAAATCCCTTTTAAGTCGCCTTCCCTCAAAAGCCCGAAAGAGCTGAACGGTGACAAATCCCGGTTGGCAGATTTTTTCCCCGGGTTCCACCTCACAAGCACCCTAAATCTCCGCTTTCAGGTTCCTTCCCACGCCACAACGATAAGCCAGCAGCAAGGCTTTCTTAAACTGTTGCTTTTCGCCAAAAAAGCCGGGGTACGCCCCCAGGAAGGTCCCTATTTAGGGGTTTATCGGGAGGGGACTGAGCCTGACGAGGCTGCAGGGCCGCGAGGCCCCGCCCCCCCCGGGGTTCCCAGCACGCCCCGCGCGGGGAGGACGCGGCGGCGGGGGAGGGGCGGAGGAAGGGGCGGAGGCAGGGAGGAGAGAAGGGCGTCGGTTTTGCGACAGGGGCGGTGCGGTGCGGAAGCGGAAGTGGAGGGTGCGCTTGGCGGCGGCGGCGGGAGCTGCGGAGTCGGGAATCAAAACAAAGGGCCTGGGGGGGGGGGGGGGGAGGCGGTGGGGCCGGAATGTGAGCGGAGGTGGAGCCGGCGGCTGAGGTGAGTTTGCTGGCAGCGCTGGGAAGTAGTCCCCGACGCGTCCAGTGCTCTGGGGCCACCAGGCTGGAGAGGGGGAGAGCGTCCCCTCCTTTTGCCTGTTGCCGGCGGGGGTGGGGGAGGTTGGCTGGTATGAGGGGAAGGAATGGGACCCACCGGGCAAGCCCCCGCTACAGGTTCGAGTTGTCTCCCTTTCGGGTCAATTCACGACTGTCATTGCAGCGCCTCTGCTGCCCTTTGGGGGTGTTTGGCTCCCTGCCCACACTTGTCTCCTTTCTCCCTTTGGGGCCCTCCAGGTGTGGAGAGCAACCCTTCTTGTTGGAAGTTTAAGAGAGGAAGAGAACAGCTGGTGTTTTTGCGACCCTCCCGCCCCCCAGCGTTTTGCACCCTCCTCGGTCTATCAGCACTCCCTAGGGTGTAGCCTCTGGCTTGACTGAGCGTTGAGTTGTCTTAGGACTTGAACCACTCCCAATAATTGTACTGCGACACTGTAATACACCTTTTAGAGTTTCCCTGGCACCTTTCTGTTATTACCTAGAGCTTTCAAGTTACATCTTTTGCACTTTCTAACATCTCTGAGCATAAATATTCTGTTTTGCATACAGGGAAACTGAAACCTAAATGGGCTTCTGAGGCATTTATCGAACTTTGCATTCATTCAGCAGTTGTTGGTGGGTGCCAGACACTGTGCTAGGTGCAGGAGATACAATAATGAATAAGAAAACATGATCCATATGTACTACCATGGAGTTTATATTTACGTGGGGGAGACAGATAATAAAAAAGCAAGCAACTAAGATAATTTTAGGAAGAAGAACTGTGAAAAACAACAGAAATACCCAGGAATGGGATGTGGTGATGTGGGGTGTTGAGGACTAGATTGGGTGTTGAGAGAAGGCCACTGCTAAATTTTCTACTTTGTCTCATTTAATACAAACAACAACCTATGAATGTGCTAGTATTATCATCAGGCCCATTTTACAGATGGGATCTGAGGTTCAGAGAGGTTGCGCGTTGTCCAAAGCTGCACAGATAGGAAGCGGCAGAGTTTGGGATTGATAGAAGGACAGT